TAATCCTTATCTTTATAAACCAACCCCCTTTTCGGTTTTAATCCTTATCTTTATAAACCAACCCCCTTCTCGGTTTTAATCCTTATCTTTATAAACCAACCCCCTTTTCCTAAATTTGCACAAGTTCCAAAGAAAAAAATAAAAAGAAAAAAGAAAAAAAGTAAGTAATGAATTTATTGAGGTGCAATTAATTTAATTCTTATCTTTATAAAATCAACCGAAGAAGAAAAGCATACACAGCATTAACTGCATCGAATAGGGTGCAATTAATTTAATTCTTATCTTTATAAAATCAATTCCTCTTTCCTAAATTTGAGCACCTTTCAAAAAAAAAAAAGAAAAAGAAAAGAAGAAGACGAGTCAATCGAAGTCAGCTGAAGTAGACAAAACTAACTGCATCGAATGAGGTGTAAATTTTTTTTTTTTTTGAACAATGTGTCATGGGGCGGAAGGGCGGTGCATCAAAATGTAACCGGAAGTCATTTGGCGCAAGAGACCAGGTGCGAATGAGGTGTGATTTAACCAAGATTAAAAACTTAATTCTTATCTTTGTAAAATCAATCCCCTTTCCCTAAATTTGCACACGTTCCAAAAAAAAAAAAAGAAGAAGAAAGAAGAAGAAGACTCAATCGAAGTCAACAAAACTAACTGCATCGAATAGGGTGCAATTTAGCCAAAATTAAAAACTTCAAAAAACAATTCCCGTTTTCCTAAATTTTAAGAGTAGGCTCGATTAATTGAGCTTAGGAATAATAGTTAGGGATAAATATTTTTTCAAATACAAGTTGAGTATAAAATATATTTAATACTTGATTTAAAAGTTTTTAAGTATAATTTTGTAAACTAAGTACTTACCTAAACATTCAAATACTTATACTTGGTACTTTGGGTTAAAACCCAATTTTCATAGTTAAGAGGTTATTAATAGCTATAAAGGTAATCTACATGAGACTCGATTGCTTGGAGCACCGTAAACTTTATTAGAAATGGGGACAAGATTTCTATCCCTCACCATCAAAGCAGCAGCAATATAAAACTTAAGCAAGAATAATGCATACCGAACAAAGAAACACACCAAATTTATTGTTCGCATAAATAGGAAC